GTATTTGATTTATAATGAACGAAAAGAACTACGTTTAGGCTTCCTTATGGTATCGAGTTCATTCAAATAGCTTAAATAGATAACGCATAAACATTGCCAAACTTTACCAAAAACGATTTAAGTGACACAGTTCAACATAAAAAAATCCAAAGTAGAATTTTTTTTTTAATTTCAGGATCACAATGAAATCCATTTTGGAACCGTCACCAAAGAGACCTAGTGCAATAGTTTGATAAGTGACAAAATAGTGAGAGGTCAAACATGTCGTCTTCGACAGGCTAAAGAAACGTCAGTTCTCGTCTAAGCCGCTTCAATGGCCGATAACCTTAAATAAAAAAAAAAATCCGCCAAGCTTGCCGTTTACGTTGTCTTTCATTTTAAGAATGCTTCCAAAACATTTTTTTTTTCAACGATAAAAATTTGATTCTAAAACCGTGCCGCAGTTAAGATGAAAACACCCACTTCTCCTGATGATGTCTGCAGTGTTGAAAAGGTCAATAACACCCCAGGTCAGCACTCAGACTGCGAACTGATCAACTACTTAAAGGACGTTGGTCTCATCCAGATAAAGATCCCAAATGGGATATTCAAGGAAAAATACGGCCGGCGTGGAGGAACAACCAACTCTTCCAACTCATATTCCACAAGATCATTGAGTGTCTTCCCGTGTTCTACAGGTATTCACAAGCCGTCCTGTGATTGAATACTTCCGAACACCGGCAGAGAAACGAAAGAAAACAATAAACGAGTTGACGAGGAACGCCGTATGACGTCGTATATGGAGTTAAATCAACCAAAAATCTAAAACGTGTTGTTTCTGGCTTCGTGGTTTATTCCGTACAGTGAACGTCAGTGTTTATGGCGAGATTAAAATCCTGTCGGAGCACTCTGTGTGAATGTACCATTTGTTCATGCATAGTGCTTCGTTGCGATCGTCACTTGGAGGGTACATTGTTCACTGTTCTGTGCTATTTGGCAGGCTTATTAGTACAGTGGAGGCTGAAAAAACTAAACAATAAGCGTTTATTGTACCTCCACTTGGTCACACATGTTTAATACATCAGCCTCTGCCACTTTTACCTTAAAAATATAAACGCATCAAAAACGACGAACATGGAGCCAAATTTCATGGATAATGTGAAGGAGTGCGCAGAGAGTAATGCAGGTTGGTTTACACCAATAAGTACGAGAATGAACGATACGACAACACGACATAAGAGTGCATTAACGTCTGGGTTCCATTTGTCCAGAGGTCGTCAGTGTCGCGACATTAGCGCTAAGCGATTACGGGAGACCGGGAACATCATCATGAAGCCCGTGGCTCCGTTACAACCGACTCTCCAACTCCCCCTGCAGCAGCGAACACTCCACGGGCTAACCTCCCCACGCATGGACGCTAGCCGAGCTTCACATCGATTAGGTGCAGCGGGTAGCGTCTTCCGTGCCTCGCCACGCCGCGGAGTCATTAACGCTCTCTCGCTGCAGTTAAGTTCCATTCGGCGAAATCTTCATGCGCTGCGGGCCGCTTCATATTTTACCGGAAGCCCGCAGCGAAACTCCAGACAAATTACTCGGCTCTCTTGGAAGCATTGCTCTGTCCCCGCTCGCCATTGATAATATACGGACACGTCTGTGAATGCGGTCCACCTACGCGAGGCAGGGCAGAGTGGGAGACCGATCCATCATCCGTCGCCTGATGGGCTCATCAACATGAGCCAGCGGGACTCCTTCGACCGAGCAGCCTCCCGATGGCTTCGGTTTCGGCCCGGCGCGTTAGCGCGCGTCGCTAAGCTCCCTGTGGAGGAGGCAGTCGCTATCCTTTGGAGACACCACTCGTCGTGGCGCTACAGCGCTCGGCTCTTCGTCTTCGCCGCCGAGTAGATCTCGCGACCAGTAGAAGCGTTCCGGCATTCGCTGATGATATCACGTTTCTGCAGAGGGACGTTCCACGCCTTGGTGTGCTGCTCGCTGCTGGCTGCGTGCCGTCTTAGCGGAGCCCCTCGAATTCTGCCAAGTAGCCCACTCGTTTGTCTTGCCTTGAGTCGTTGTTATTACTTCGAATTAATTTAATGCAGTAACGGCGAATCGCATGTGATCATGATAAGTCGAAATCTGTCGTTTTTTGGAAATTTGTTCTTACGTTGAATGAATTCGAACGTAAGCAATTTGTAAATTTGTCTGTTGAGGGTGAGTTTATTCATTCGTCGTTTGCTCGTGCAGTGGTTTTGCTCGTTCACTCTCAGACTCTAAGGTTATCAGATCAATTGTTTTCATGAGCAATGGCGTTGTCCGCCCTTAGGTTGAAAAGACACATTAAGCACCTAGGGTCTCGTTGTGACAACCGCTGTTAACAAAGCATCAGCTCTTGTATCCCATCAAAACTCATCTCGAAGCCCAACATTTTGTGTAATTTCACCAGCTCGCTTGTTCATTAGCTGCTGTTGCAGCATATTTGGAGAATCGATGCCGGCTACCTGGATAAATAAGAGAAAAATTAGGTTGTTATCTAGACAATTTAATAAGAATTGTCGTTCATGGCCTTATTTCTCGTCTCCCGCGATATTTCTTCATTTAGGGGGGGCAGAAAGGGGGGGGGGGGGGGGGGGGGGGGGGAGACGAGAACGTTTGTGATGTCTTGGAGGCGGCCTTCGGCGGCGTCACGATATTTAGAGCTGATGCATTCTCTGGACGGTAATCTCCGTTGCTCGCCCTTCTCAGTGCCAGCGCCGACCACCACTGCATTCGCCGGAGGTCCGGAGCGGCAGGACCCCGACAATCGTCGGCTCTTCCACGAGCCGAGGCCCCTGGCGCGCCGCTTCCCCGCGTGGTTATGAGGCCGGCAGGCGCAGGACCACCGAGTGTCGGCCAGTCGCCCGGTGGACGATTGCTCCCTGTCGCCAGGAGAAAGCTGCAGCGTCACCGCGCGGCGGGAGCCCCGAGGATGGGCGGGGAGGCCGCCTTTTGCCCATCCGATGGCGGCGCATGGCTTCGCCGGTCGGGTCCACCGCGGACCTTTCCAGCCGCGCTTCGCCCGAGTCCGTCCCAATCGGGTAGCGACCTCGGGAGGAGAGCCGTCGCTGCGGGACGGTGCGGGAAGCATCGCGGCGGCGGTGACCTCCGTGGGCCGCGCCGCAGCGAGCGATGAAGACGCCGCGCGGCCGCCGCATCGGAGGCCCGACCTTCGCTGGGGGCTGCTGACAGTAACGGATTGTGCTGTTACCAAGACGCCGGCTACCTGCTGGTCGGAGCTGAGCTTTTCGCCGGGACGCGGTTGCCCAGCGCGGCCGTGATAAATTGACCGTCCGACTGGCCCTGACTGGGGACGGCCCAAAAGTAGCGCTCCCCAGCGCGGGGGGGACATTTCTCTTTTGGGTGAAGCGCGCGGCTCACTGGCCCGCGCGGTGGTCCTCGCCGCTCGATTGCAGGCGCCGGGGACAATGCGATGCGCGGCGTCGTTGAACTCTGCTCCGCCGCCGGTCGCTGGGCCTCCTGCCAGCGCGACGTGCGCCTCCCGCGCCAGACCCAACCTCCGGCCGCGCCAGGTCGGGGCACCTGCGGCCTTGCTCGGACGTCTGCGCTATCTTGCCTCTGGGTTGCGCCTTTGGACGGCCGCGCTGCGGTCCCCTCGGTCGGCTTCGACGAGGACTCGTCTTCGCCCACGTCGTGCCATGCGGCGCATGGCTCGCTCCTTCGACCTCCCCGGGCGATGAAAACGACGTTGATTCACTCGTACGGTGGGTGGTCACAAACGCCGCCTTGTGTGGCGCAAAGTAAATACAAGCGCTAGAATGGAATTTTAACTGCTTTCGGTACTGTACCCTATTCCGGGGGAAACCATTTATCACTGTTTGCGTCACGTGTACTTTATATTATTCCCATTCACTTCCGTGACGAGTGTGACGTAACCCTTTGTTTGCGTCTGTATTGTTTGGTTCCTATTGTTACCCTTGTTATTGGAAAAGCGGCTCAGGAAACAAGATGAGAAATCATAGGTGGTAGAAAGCGGCAGGTATCCACTCCAGGTGTGGGATCAATTTTTACTCTGAATGATGTGGTACAAGAAAAATAGAAAGCATACTTATTGGCTGTCTAATTACTTGTGCTACGGAATGCAGATGGTTGCTTTGAACTATATAATACGAAGCGTATTTTAACATAAAACATCAAGTTAAATACAAAAAAAAAGTTATCGGTTGAATTTGTACATTAATTTAGTAGTTTCCACACAATATACATAGTGGGTTCAAATTTCGGCAGACTCGTCCGCAATCTTAACAGGCGTATTGGCGGTGAAGGGGCTATGTAACTGAGATTTCGGTTGCACGTTGAAGAATGTGAAGTGGTCTAAATTAATCCCCAGTCCTTCGCTGGGCGTGCTAGATACCCTTCGTTCGACTGGCACGTAAACCTCCCCCGTGTGTTTAAGATTTTAGACATTGCAAAATATACTAATCCGTATGCGTGCTCACACCGAAAGAAATCCTAGGAATGAACTATTGTTTTTTAACTTAATCTTTATCGAAATGCCTACATCTGAAGGATGTACCTAGTCAGTTTTCAAGAGAGTTCACACGTAGCGGTCTACTGGGTAAAAATATAACTTGAGCGTACCCTATGTTTTTCTACTCGTCAATCACACTGTTGGTTTCAGGTCAAGGTACATACATTTTCTAATTATCTCGTTTCAGAATCTTGTCGTGTTTCAAGCATTTATTTGAGCACTTCGCATTCAAAGCAAGTTACTTTAGAGTCCTTATACGGCCACACGATAGCATGCTTGCTTTGTAAGCCGTGGTATAGATCTCTAACTTGCGAATCAATTTTTGGCTTCTTATGATGATAGTGTGGAGAAATGCTGCTCCGTTTGTGGGTCAGGCCAGTGGGTCCGTGCTTTGCGCTTGTATGTAACGCAGCTTTTCGCCTTTCATGTCAGATGACAAGTTCTTCCATTTTTTTTTTCTTTGCCAGTTCACGGCGAAGAAACAAGAGGAACCACAGAATACAAGGAGGACACCCACACTTGGTATTTTATTCTTGATTTTTTGTACGTCATAAAATTCCCATCTTTCAAACGGAACGCAAATGTAGCGTAACAATTGCGACAGTATGTATTTACAACGTCATTGAAGCACAAGTACGCCACGAAGCATGTCTAAATGGCAAATGGTACAACCAAACCGTCCACACTTTTTTTTTTTCTTCATTGATTTCTTTCTTGAGTAAGAAAGAACGCGATCACTTGTGACTGGCGAAAGTGAGGCTGACCCTTCTTCGGTGATTTCTCTCCTGTTCCAAAGCGCGAGCGAACGTCAAGCGCTGAATGAGCGAAGTCAACTGAACATCCAGTCGCTCGACTGACACGTTGCACTAGTGCCCGGCATTGGTGAACGAGGAAGGCTACTACAGTACATTCTTTTCTCTTTTTTTTTTTTAATCGTTCATTCGCATTGCTTCACCATGCCAATCATAAACGTCTATGTTAATGATTTGTTGCCGTTAACAAGTGTCAGGACTGTTAGTTAAGGAAACAAGCCTCTCTCTCTCTCTCTGTTAATGTGTATGAACTTTCTCTTCAAGCACCAAGAAAAGGGAGAGGGGGGGGGGGGTGCAGTTGATTGGCGCCTGCGCTGCGTTTGATTCTGAATTGCTAAAGGACAGTTTTGTTTTGCGCCTAAGACATGTAATCGATTCCCACTGTAATCTTTGCAAATAGTACATTTGATTTGCGCCGCGCCGGAAACCTTTAATAGCCGTGATAGTGTCGCAGGCTGTAGAAGCGTAGCTGCACGACAGGCGCTGAATGACCGCGCATACATAGGAATGGGCAGCATGTTACGTGAGCTCAAAAATTACACGAAGCAAAGTGGGATTGTGACGCATCCTGGCTGTTTTATACGTTAAAAAAGTTGCTGGACTGGATCAATTTTGTCGGTAAACGTTAGGAAAATGCGACTGCTCATAAGCTAGAGACATACTGCGGTGCCGAGTTAGGTTTGGAGGTCAGCGATCAATCACAATTCTCGCTCACTTCCAAAAGGAAACAAAACGGGCTCTCTAAATCAAATGTGTAAAGACAAGTTTCCTTTTTGTGTTTGAGAAAAGGGGGAAGGGGGGGGGGGGATGATATCGAAAGAGGCAGAACATCCGATGAACAATGCACACGATTTTCTGATGTTAGAGCTATCACGCAAAAAAAAAAAGGGGGGGGGGGGGTCTTCGTTGATTAGTCTCTAATAACGAAAATATCACGCTTGCCAGCTCCGCATTATTCGCAACTCCCGCGAATCGCGCGAGCAGCAACAGCTCAGCTCGCTCGTGAGGCGAGCTCCCGACAATTGCACGTTGTACAGCTTGAACGCGGTACAGTTTCAAATGGTTGGTTCAAATTCGGTGGGCCTTCGGTACGAGGTCGAGTCCACCCAATCGGACACAACTCTTACAATCTTCTATGGACAGCCATTGGACCTTCACTTGGTTCTCCTCGTCCTTCATGACACATACACGCTCTCACGCACACACATCCGCACATAAAACAATGAAATGTAAATAAGTTACAGAAATAAAACATTTTTTTTAATTATTGTAAACAACACGCGTTTGATATGTACATAGTTTTACACTTAAATACCACTTAATATGCTCTCGAGGAGCATTCAATACACAGCCTGGTGTGTTCGAGGCTAACGCAGGGTCGTTGGGTGTCGGGAGGTATACACAATAGGGAACGCACAATTCACCGCCCGTCGCCCGACGCGACCGCCGAGCCCGATGCCGGCGCATTTTAGTCAGCCGCGCGTGTCCCATCTGTACAGTGTGCATGTGTTTCACTGGAAACGCCGGAGGCACAGGCGCATGTCCCCGCCACCGCAAATAATTAAGAGTCAAGAATGCAGCAACGAGTTTTACGTGGCTCGTTTCCTAAGTTGTCTGGTTCTTCTCTCGTTTCTCTTCCTTTCGAGCCAGCTGGACTTCGCAGAGGACGGCTGTTTTCTCTTCTATATTTTGTTTTCTTTCTGGTTTGAGGCGCGCTCTAACGACTAGGAGTCTCCTTTTTTTCCCTCTCAGGTTTGAATTAATTTGCGCCGTTATCTGCCCAGCATAAATTTGTCGCGCAAGAATGATGAACGTCCGTGTGAATTGCATTTAATGTTACATATTTGTTCCTTAAGCCTAATAGGCTGCAGCCTTCCGGCTCGGGCCACAGAAGCCCTGGAGCACTCCAAACGTGTACGACACCACGAAGGAAATAATTTACGGCGCGTGGCTCCCAACTTCGCATTTTTATGGCGAGTTCGACTGACCTTTTTTAGCGGTTGTATTTTTAAACTCTCGATGAACATACTTTTTTTTTTTTTTTGTTCTGCGGTTGTTCTTGCCGGCATTCTTTTAAGTGCTTCACTATCTCTCTCTTTCTCTCTCTCGCGCTCCAATCAGTATCCAAGCATTGAAACGCGGCTGCCAGTGATGCTGTTTTATTGTTCGAATGTTTCTGCGCATTCTAAGATCTTCTTTTTTGTGTTAGATCGTGATTGAACTTTACTGTATAGTTAGAGTTCTGTTGTTTTTTCTTTTCTTTGCAATACTGACTCGGGACAAAAAAACGTCAAAGGCAGTGTGCTTCCCTGCCCATTATTCAACCTTTCGATACAACAAACTGGCCGAGACATGTACACGCGCTGGTACAATTCGTGATCAGGCGATGACAGCCGAGGTTGGTCGATTAAAATGATTAACAAATGGAAAATGTGTCGACAGGAAGCCGTGCCAAGCCTACGTGTTTGAGACCACGAACCCGGATGTGTACCTCTTTTTTCTTCCTCTTTCTTCCTTCCATGGGTCAGGTAACGGAGGTATCGTGCAATATACAGGAAGTCAGCAGAGCGTAGTCCACTGTCTGTCTTGTTGCGAGAAGGTCGGTGTTGATTTGAAATCAAACAATTACCCGCGTGTTTTTTTGGTTTTTTTTTTCTTTTTTTCATTTTTTACAGATAACGATCAGCAGACATACGTTCGTTTGCAAGAGACGAAACAATCCTCTCTGAGCTGCTACGCGAGTGAGTGTGGTTCAAATAAACTTTGCCTGGCGTACACGCTGTGCCTCACGTACTACATCTATTTGACCTTAATTTTAGGCTCGCTCTCGACACGTTTGCTAATCCTACGACGCTTTTGACAAAATGTGGTGGTTTTCTTTGTATATCGAGACAAGCCTCTCCTGTGGGTCAGTTCCACGAGAGCCTCCACAGTGAGCTCTCTGGCAGTCGGGTAGGGGTTGACTGGGTCTTGCACTGGGCCGACGCGACGACTTGCTTGAGTGGCAGCATAGCGGCGCGCTGCCGGCGACGACGATGTCCATCAGCGGCGTGGTCTTGTCCAAGCGAGCCGAGACGCACATTCCCTAACCACGTGCACACTCACGAAGAACGCGGTCGACAGAGGGGCGCGTGGCACGGTGGAGCTTAAGCACGTGGAGTCCACAGTCCTTTTCCTAAGCGGGTAGAAGTCTATAAATAAAACAGCGACGCCTATTGGATCACGGGGGCGTGGCGGTTGATAAATAGGGTGTCGTTACGAGCGGAAGCCCCCCGGTGATGTGCTGGGCGCCACGTCGGTGGCGTCGGGCGTCGTGGAGGGCGACGCCGTCGCCGTCGGGCTGTCCTTTCGGGGGTACACGTAGGGCGCGTAGCGGTACAGTCCCAGCGAGTGCAAGGTCTCCGTGTGCGACGCGGTGGGCCTGAGCATGGGTTGGAAGAGGCCGCCCGGCGCGGCGCCGCTCAGCACCGACGCGAGCTGGGGAGGGAGCGCGGCCGCCGCGGCCGCCCACTGGGACCACAGTTGGGGCGGGATGCCGGCCGGCGGAGGGGCGCGCACGCCGAAGGCGTACAGGGACGCCGGCTGGCCGTACAGCTCCATGCCGGGGGGCTTCCAGAGCAAGGAGGCCCGCGCTGCCGCCGCCGCCGCAGCCGAGGGCCCCAGGCCGCCGAGAAGGCCCTTTTCGTGCAGGTAGGCCGCCGTCTCCGGATCGCCGCCGTTCTCCAGGAACGTGCGGAGCGGCGTCCGTGCGAACGGGTGCTCCGTGATCAGGGACTCCATCGTTTCTCTGCGCCGGAAAAAGAAACGGGAATTGACGTACTCCGCGTCCCCAATGACAACGCCGTTCAGGATACTACGCGCGCGCGCTAAACGGGCACGTTGGCTCGTGTCTTGGGTGTTGCTCCGATAACCCGAGAGCTCGCTTATAGATCGTGTCCCGACTGGCTCGCCAGAGCTCCGACCACACCTCTGGAACTCAGCAGAGAGATGTGCGCGGAAGGCCACGGCGTCAATCATCGAAGCCGACGATCGGAGACAGCATGGTCGCGTGTTCGGCGAACACCGACCGAAACTCGGAACATGTCGAGGTTCTCCGTCCCATTCGAGCCCATTTATGGATTGACGCGGTGCACGCGAATGTGCTGGACGTCAAGGGAGGCCATTGCATCTGCGTGCCATAAGCATACCTGCGTGGCACGACAGCCCCAGCGGTGGACGGGCGGCGCGGCAAAGCAAAGCGCCAAAGCGACGCCTTTAACGGGCGGCATTCCTGCCGCGACTGCGCGCGCGTGAAAGGCGGCTGGGGGAGTCCCGGCGGGCCGGTCCGGGCTGCTATTTGGCGGGCCGGCTCCCTCTGCCGCGCAGCACGTCTATATCCAGGACGGGCCGAATGCGGCTTGTAATCTCAACAACTCGCGCTTATCAGACGGGACATCTACACTACATCTTCGGAACTTTTAACTTGTCTCCGGGAGAGTGGCTGGCGCTCTAAAACTGGGCTGACGGGAAGCGGCGAGGGAGAGCATAAATAATTACGCTCCTCTATTGGAACACATGTCGTGCCGCTCCGACGTCTCCCTCTTTTTTATTTTTTTATTTTTATAGGATTACGTGCGTGTCTTCTGGGCGCACGTCAACGCGCAGTTGACGATTCCGCGGCATGCTCCGGACTTTGCCGAATAGCTTGATTTATTTTACAGCGGGCTTACGGGGAGCGACGCGCTGCGACCGACACGGAACGGCGGCCGGCGAACCCAGGCGAACCTGCCCCCTGCGCGCGGCGTCACCCAGTGGGCCTCGCCGGCTGCGTCCGCGGGTCCGGCCAGCATGCGATCGCTCGCCGCCGAACGTCGGGGATCTGCCACGACCCGACATTCCCTCCGAGAAACGTTGGTCCTCACTCTCTCGGACGCGCACCTGCAGCCATACACTTTGCGCACTGTGGCGAGGTGGTCGTGGCGAGAGTCCAGAAGATGCGCTTCCCACCCAACCCCCATAAATATGTGAGAAGGGGGGGGGTCTTTGCTGAGTGAGCATGCACTCGGTCTCGGACATGAACATTTCGTACCTTTCCAGTTCTGTCAATCTTGATGAATCCCGGAAACCTTTGGCGAATGGGTTGCTATCTATCTTTAATTTCGTGATCTGGAAAAGAAAGAGACGTAGGCACTTGTAACATTGAACATACTTCGGTGGCAAGGTGCCTCGACAGCGTATGGCGTCGCTCTGCTCGAATGTAACTCGGCATCGATGTCGGAGTTTGAGTAATCGTTTCAATCGTTCATCGTGAGTGTCGGTTTAAATTAGTCGGGGGGCGGAAATTTTGGTTAAAAAAACAACATGACTCGAATAGTTATTACTGAAATATTACTGGAGGTGATATACATTTTGATTTTAAAACGTGCGAAACCGGAGTAAAAATAATTAAAAAAATATTTAAAGCATGCGCATCAATAAATTTTGATCGACACTTTCTGCCTTAGTGAACTCCACGCTGCTCGTGCGCTTTCAAATTTCGTTTAAACTGAGTGGCGCCTTCACTACAGAAACACCCCAGTGCTCAACACCGCGCCCTGTAACGCACGCTGACAATGCCGCATCATCAGTCGACAGTGAGATCTAAGCTGGTGTTGCAAAATACGCAAACGAACGTCAAGAATGATTGTCAAAGCGACGCAATCTAATGTGATGTTTGCGGGAATTTTTTTATTTTTTTTTTAGTTCCCGAAGAAGCAACGTTATGGATAAGATGGTTAACTACAATCATTACATCGTTCTAAAAAAATAAGGAAGTGCACGCACCAGTTGATTTTGGTACGCCGTGACAGCGGTGAAGACAGTCTCTGGAAACACGTATGTTCGAAACTGCTCCGCCTCCAGGTCCGTGACAGGAATATTGGGAGAGTTGTGTCTCCTCTTGACCAGGTGTATTCGAGGTTGATACTTGTGCATCGAATTCAGGACGATCTGTAAAAGAAACAAAAAAGAGACTTAATGAAGAAAAAAAAAATGTCCCCTTGGTCTTCCCAGCAGCCCATCGTGTAACATGAACAGACGTTCGCGCTTTTGGAGTGCTATAAACCAACGCTACGTGAAACATGATGACTCTGTACAGGCACGTAGCCAGGATGTTGTTTCGGGGGAGGGGGGGTCGCCTATGATAAGATCCTGTAATGCTGTATGAGGGGGAGGGAGGAGAGGAGGCCCCAGCAAAATGGAAAATTTTGGGGGGTCCCGGGCCCCATGCCCCCCCCCCCCCCCCCCCCTCCCCCCCGGCTACGTGCCTGACCGCAGGGATCCCAAACATTTTGGGCATGCGCACCTTACTCCCTCTCGGAACTCAAACGCTTTAAAAAAATAATATAGATATACATATCAGCAAAAACACAGACATTTTTTTATATTTCCCGGATGAATTATATAGTTCTAGACGTCCATAATACAATAATAATTAATACTAAGTAGAACATCGAGAACTTAACTTTTTTTATTCTTAGTCCCGACATACTTTTTTTTTTTTTTAAATTGAGTTCTGTGGATTATTTCTGCAATATCTTGAATTCGTTACCGCCCTAATGAACGAACGTAGTATTAGCGAGGCTTATAATAACGTCTAACTTATAGCCGGCATCTAAATCAAATTTTAATTGTTTTCATAATTTAGTTCAAATCCCCGTAAAAAATAAAATCGGCATGTTCCGAAATTTTGGAGTCTTTTACGTGAATGAAACTCACCTTTTAATGTGAAATAGGAAAACATATTTTTGCTGTTTTGGGTAATATAAAACATAAACGTTTGTAGGATACATATTTTTTCTAAAAAAAAAATTACAGGGCAGCATATTGATGGTCGAGGCAAATTTCTAGAAACCACAAGGGCTTGCAACTATCTATGAATGTGATAGCATTTATCGTTGCACACAGCCAAATTTAGCGGGTAAACTGAATTGGTATATAGGTCGTGAATTAAATTTTCCGCTAAATTTTGAAACTCCCTACTAAATTTAGCATCCTCTTGACGACGCCAAATCCTTGTCTTCCTTGAGATCACCCTAGAGGTCGTTGAGGCCGTTCTAGACGTCGTTCCTAACTTCCTTTTTTAGGACGTTGTCCTTGACGTCGACCTAGACGCCGTGCTTTACGTCGTTTAGGACGACGTCGAAGACGACAACTAGAACGACCTCTAAGACGACCTCTAGGAAGACCTCTAGGAAGACCACAAGGACGACGTCCTAGAGAGCGACGTCAAAGACGACGTCCAGGACAGCCTTTAAGACGACCTCTAGCACGACCTCATGGACGACATCTAGGACGACCTCTAGGCCGGCCTCTAGGACGACATCGAGGATGACATCGAGGACGACGTAAAGGTCATCAGGTCCTTCAAAGAGGGTGCGAATGTGAAAAAGTGCGTACTGCCGCTTCGCGTGCGCGCGGTGCAATGGGGTGCAAGCACAGTGAGCTGGAATGGTCCACCGCGCATACCTACTGCGCATTAAGAGGCCCGAATATACATAGCTCGAAATATTGAGTAGTAGCTTAATAATGCTATCGCATTATAAACTACGAAATGGTGAGCCTGGACGCAGCTAATCATCCAGGCAACATGTTTATATATATATTTATTCGACCCCGCACCCTACAAATATCTACTCATTACTCTGTAGGACTTTCATTGAGATCGACACTTGAGTGGCACGTGCAATGTACACTTTAAAAACATGGCGGTAAAGAGCAAAAAGAGCGTACGGGATTGTACGTATCACGGCTATGGATGTTTTGTCGGCGCCCTGCATAAGTCGTGCAGGAAAGAGATAGCACACATTTCGCCGTGCATTCATTTTTCTGCAGCTGCATCAGCAAAAGTTTTATTTCTGGCTTTTAATTTTAGCGCCCACGTATTTTGCTACAGCTAGGTCGGCAAAAGGAGATATCCTCTAAATAAGCGTACAAATATTCACGGAAATCTAAAAGTGCGAACTCGCGTCAACTGTTCTATGCCTAAGTGGGCTTTCCCGAAAAGTCGCACTGCTCTGACACCCCCGAAAATAAGCCTATTTTGGTATTGTTCTTCGTGCAACGCTTGAATACGTTGTTTACGCTCCACTCTGCAAGTATTTTTTTCACTCGAGAGGTCTATCTGGTGAAACAAACAGAGTCACACAAAAACTAGAGGTTCAGCTCGGATAAACCAACACGATGTTGGAGGGTGTCATGGGTTGTTCATCCACGCGGCTATATAGGCGTTCGGGTGTTCTTTCAAGTTAACGTTTTTTTCGATTTTTCGGTGGTGATCAAAATTATGTAGTTTAGTTAGTGTAGGTCCTATTATTCGTATTAATGAAAATGTGCCTCAGACGGCTCATTACCTCCGAAATATTCCGAGTTTTGCGTCGTCATCGCACCGGAGCCACCCTGAGCTGCGATTTCTAAAACAAAAGTCAAGTTTTGAACCGAAAATATTTGCTCTTGACGCACAAACCTTCGGAGATTGTGTTTCTGTCAAAATCTGGGTAAGCATAACTTCCTCGTCAGGGGCCATTTAATTCCAGAGACGATTGCGTAAAACCGATCAGGATTTGACTTGTCCCCGAGCAAAGTAGACCCACACAATTCAATTAAAAATTATTCGACGAAAACAAGAAGAGGTAGAATGAAGTCTGTGCTTCACATGAAGAGATCGATCGAATGTAGTATATGGTCCAAAAATTATGAAATTCGGATACAATAAGTAATGCACTCAAGTATGAGCACTTACACCACAAAATTGTACGAACTTTCATAACGACATATATGATTGCGCGACGATAGATTACAGCGAAATAATAAAAAGAGGCGCGTGGTTTGCTCGGGAGCTTGGCAATGCGTGGACATGGCTTGTCGGACCTCTCCTACGAAAAAGGGGGAGGAGAACTTTTCTCCCCCCCCCCCTCGGGCACACCCCTCCTGCGATACTCTCCGGGTTTATTTCTTGCCCCGCGAGCGAGGCTGCGGTTAGCGCGGTCGGCCGGACAGCGGCCAACGGCGACCTCCTTCGTCGGAGCGTTGTGTGTTATGCTTGGTAATTGTTCCCCGAACAGGCGTCCCGCGGCGGCTGGGTGTGCAGTCGACGCGGCGCGCGTGTCTCATGAATCGGCAGGAACTGAGCCCCGGCGCACATCCATTTTCGTCAAAGTCGGCTGTCTTGACAGCTTGTTGTTCGCCACTGCGTCGTCTGTATCATCTTCGGATATGTCACAGGAAGGGGGACTCTCCTCAGAATGCACATGCTCCGTCACGTCCCCCGAAAGCCCTCCCCCCCCCCCTCTCCGTTCGGGCTTGTCAGAGAGTCAACCAGCCCGGCATTTCAATGACCCTGGGATAATAGGTTTCGTGGCAGGCGCTTATAAATATGCAAACCGCGAATTACACTACGCAACTCGGACTTGTTGGAGCAAGACTCTCTCGTCCGCGTGACACGAGTATTATGTCCCAACTGTTGCGCGCCGCGGACCCGAGGAATGGCCGGGGGAGTGGTCGTGTCCCAAAGCGCCGGATTCGTCTCGGACCGAGGCTCCAGTCATTATGGCCGATGATCTGCTTAAACATGCCGACTAATCCCCGCCGTCTTTTCTTTTTCCTGCTGTTAGTTTTGGGTTTCTCGTGTCCTGCTCCGGAATGTGGCCGGCCACCTCGACGGTTCCGCGCCACATGAAGCGAAACCCCCACGAGTTTTTGCCAGGCCTGTTTCGAACCTCCCGGGTCCCGGTGTCGGGCATAACGCTCCTTCGCCGTCGTATCTTTCGCGGCTCTTCGAATTCTTAGTTTAGTCAACATAGCACCGTGAAAGAATTAAAAAATAAATAAATAAATAAACACCTACATGTAAATTGAGACATATTTGTTAGGTTGAGACCTTTCATCGTTATTAAATAATTTAAGAACAAAAAAAAATGTCACCGTATAAAATGCATCGCCACGTTTAATTTGAAAATATGTCTGTAAACTTGCTAATCCTGCCTACACGTGTCTTACAGTGTAATGACATGAGTGTTTTTATTGTACATTTACGAGTATTTGTGTTTGATTTTCTCCCCCTTTATGTAACGAGAGAGATTTTTGTTTTACTTGGTATGATTTGTACGCGTCTGGCCAAGAAAACGGCGATGTGTTGGCATTTCGCCCATGCCTTCTCTCGCCTGTACATATGTATAAACGAAATAAATTTAATTTCTATTTTATAATACAACATGGGACAAGATAGTCTTTTTTTTTTTTTCTTTTTTTCCATCGGAAGTTTTTTATTATAAAATAATGAGTCGCATTTTTTTTCTCCAACTGATCCTTGACTAAAGTCGTGTTTAGCCTAGACAAATATATATATAAGAAACAGAAATAAGAAAATGGGAGATTTTATGATAGCACCGCGTTCGGATATGGCTTCACCAATCGCGTATATCCACATGGTCGAGTAGCGTTCACGACAGCATACCTAATTCGACGTTTACTCAACACATTCCAGATGTCATTATGCGATAGTGGAACCTGTATCCTTAAATTACTTTTATGTTCATTTCATCATGCTTTCGGCGATGTTCTTATCGATTTCCGAGAGAATAAACGGACGAAATTGAATTGATTTAAAAGTAAAACTCCGCCGCTTTATGGCGGTGACGACGATTCAGTATGTAGACGGCAGACTTCGCAACCATGTCTTATCTTTTAACACTTTGGATGGAACAAGCCACGTCTGCTTAATGTGCGCTGCAGGATTGTCTCCCGTCCTTCTTAGGAAGGTTGAGCACGTGTGAAACGGCGCGAAAACTACGACAGATTCGTGCAACGTGGCGAGCATAGCCAAGCTCCTCTGTCGACTTGAGAAACGAGGAGGAAAGAAAACGAGAGAGAACTGTAAAAACCGCAGCAGCGACGTGCACGCATTCGTAAGACGAAAGACGAGATCTCCATCGTGAGCTATAACTTTTATT